TCTGACGGGCCCGGGGTGCCTCGCTCTTCGACCAGCGGCCTGGAGGGGCAGCTGCGCCGTCCCTCTGCACAAGGAGGGCCCGCTGGACAAGGGGGCCTCTTTCCGGCTCATCATGGTAAAATCACAGATGGGCCTGCTGCAGGAGATGCTGCTCCATCAGAGGCTCGCGCAGCAACTCCGCGCGTCCATTTTCCCAGGCCAAAGCGGCTACGTGCGAGACGTGGGAAACGCCCACCTTGTCCTCCACGAGCTCGCGGCAGGGGCGAAGGGAGCAGGCCGGCCTCTTTGGGCGGTTTTCGGGGACCTTCAAAAGGCCTTTCCCCGGACCTGGAGGGAGGTGCTCCTCTTACGTCTTCATGAAAAGGCCGGTGTGCGTGATGGCATCTTCTCGCTTCTGGCCAGCATGCTCGCTTCGGACACGATCCATGTCAACTTCAACGGAGTCTCCACTGTTTCCATTGACCAAGGGATTGCCGAAGGGGGAACGCTGGGTCCCCTGACCTTTCCTGTATACATGGACTCTCTCCCAGAAGCCTTACACAAGGCAGGCTGCGGAATCGGAATAGGAGTCCGCGTTCCGTGCGCCTGGGTCGGCTGCTCGTGGCGGGGCACAGGCATGCCCGATCCTGTCCAGACCGCCGAGCTCACCAGAGCACTCCGCGAGGGCACGCAGCTTCCTCGGGCAGCGGATCTAGAAGCCGATCTTACGCTGGAGGCCTCTGCTCTGGCCGCACTGGATGCCACCGCGCCATTGCGCCTTGCTGCAATTCTACACGCGGACGACCCGGTTCTGCTCTCTTCCACTCGGGGAGGAGCGCAGCTCGCGCAGAATGCTCTAGCCGAGTGGGCTTTTGCTCACAAGGCCAGTCCGCATACCAAGCCCTCCAAACACGCTGTTGTAGTGCATGGCTCCCCGGAGTCCCGGAGGGCAGGGGCGGCAGCAGCTCCCCTTGTGCTACCGCTCCGGGGAGGGGCGCCTATTGAACTAGAGCTCAAAGACACACACCAGTGGCTCGGGCTACTCTGGTCTGGTGACCTCGACTTCTCGAAACTGCTCGATGCAAGGCTGGGCGCCGCTTCCGCACAGTGCGCCTCCCTCGCGGGGCATGTTGCTGCCGGAGTCCTTCCGCTCGCTGTGGCGGTTCGCATCTTCGAGGCCCAGATCGAAGGCGCACTGCGCTTCGGGCGCTGGATGTGGGCAGTTGCGGAGGGGGCGTCGGACAAGCTTGAACAGAGCTATGGAGCGTGGGCGCGCGCCTTTCTGGGCTGTCCGCCCTGGCGAGGGCAGGCCCACGCTCCCTTGGAGTTGGGCTGGGCTCTCTCCGGGCCTGCCAGGGCCGTGTACGAGGTGGCCTCCCGGCGGGCCGGTCTCTGGAGGCTCCCCGACGCAGATCTCTACAAACGGGTTTTCCTGCAGGCCCACGGGTCAGAGGGCCGCACCTGGGCGCAGCTGTCGCTTGCCCTCCTCGAGGCTTGGTCCATCCCGGATTGGCCTGCTTGGGAGGGAATGTATGGAGGGTCGTCCCTGCACGCATACAAGGTCCACGTCCGGGCCCTCCTGAAGGCGCGGTGCGGGGAGGAGCTGCGGAGGCAGGCGGGCGTGCTCCAGAGGCCGCTTCCGGTCCTTGCTCTCGGCCCAGTCCCCAGGACGGACCTGGCCGGGGCCCTCAAGCTAGGGTTCCCTTTCGAAGTGCTACTGGGCCAGCGCTCGCTCAGCAGGCTTCGGGGGCGGTTGGTCGCCCTAGGGCACTCTTCTGGTTCCCTCTCTTCGGCACGGAGGCAAATGTGTGTGCTCTGCGGGGAGCAGTTTCTGAGTCCAACCTTCCATGTTCTCGGGAGCTGTGGCAGTACGGAGTTCCCCAGGCGCGCTTTCTGGGAGGCCCGAGGGTGCGCAGCTCCCTCCTCCAGAGAGGCTGCGGCCACGGCGATTCTGTCGGCTGCCCCGGCAGACGCGGGGTACAAGGAGGCGGCGCTGCTTGCGCTCCACGTGGAGAGGGAGGTGGATCGCTTCTGGGCATCCGCAGGCAACAATTACCTCCCCCCTCCCGCCCTCCCTCCCCTCTGCCCGGGGCACTGAGGGGGTTGTTTCCTGGTCCGCTGCTCGTTTTTGGGGTCTCGTCGTGGTCACGGCAGGATTCGCCTGGAAATTCTGGTCTGGTGTTGGAAGCTTCGGCTTCGGCATCTTTCGCCCCCCAGTCTCCTGGCAGGCGGGTCGGGTCGGGCTGGATCCTCCCCTCCCTGGGGTGGCTTCCTCTCCCTCCTCCTGTCACCGTCCCGTACCTGCGGGGTACGTCGACCAGGCAGCGTGGGGGGATCGGACGAGCCCCAGGCAGGTGCTCCCTGCCTGGCCCCCCCCCCACATATGGCGGGGAGTCTCTGAGTTGCCTCTTCTGCTTCGCCCTGGCCGGGGTTTCGGGCGGAGGTCCTTGTTGGAACTGTGGGAATTTTCAAAGGCTTGCACGGTTTTCCAGGGTCGGTTCTGTGCGCCGCCCTCTTGACTCCGCGCAGGTCTTGGAAAGTGCACAGCTCTTACCAACCCTCCCCTCGACCCCTTCAGAGCTGGCGATCTGTCTTCCAGAGCCGTCGCAGCAAGGTCGCTTCCGAACCCTCCCCGGGTCGTGGCCCCTTGCTAAAAGGAAGTCTCGTCCGAAGCTTCCGCCGCCAGCTCAAAGGGAGCACACCATCCATCCATCCATCCTCCTCCTTCCTGTCCTCACCCCTCCTTTCCTGCTCCTCCTGCTGTTCCTGTCTTCCTCCTCCCCCTCCTCCTCCTCCTCCTCCTCCCCCTTCTAGTGCTCCCACTCCCCCCTTCTACTCATCGTCCTCCCCCCTTCTTTTTTGTTTGGAATCCTCGCAGCTTAACCTGGTTAGCCAGGTTAGCTAACCAGGTTAGCGAGGTTAGCTAAGCAGGACAATCTCACTTAGCAACCCCCTCTCACAAAGTTAGCTCGGTTAAGCTAACCCGAATAGATGCTGACCTAAAGAAGATCAGCCTAACCAGATGCCAACTTGGATAGCTAAGGTGGTATAACCACATCTATCCCATGTGAACCACTTCACAACCACCCTGGGCATTCCAGAAGAAGGCCCCCCCACACTGCCAAGGAGCGCCCCGGGAGCGCCCCCAGCGGGGGCCTCCCAGACCGACCCGGGAGCGAGGCCCGACGGGTCACGGGCCCCCGGATGGCACCGAAGCAGCGCTGAGAGGCCCCAAGATGGCCCCAGCGCGGCCCGGAGCAGGAGGAGGAGGAGGAGGAGGAGGAGGAGGAGGAGGAGGCCCCAAAGAGACCCCAAGAAGCCCCTGATGGGCGCCCAGTCGAAGCCCGACGACGCCGCCCAGAGACTCCCAGGAGTACCGCGAGGTGCTCCTGCAGCGAACGAGAGGGTTCAGTCAACCGCAGCACGAACGTCCTCATGCTTTCCATGCTGCTCGCCCTCTCGTCTTGTCGGGCTTCGGTGGTGGAACGTTGGTGCTCCTGTCAGTGTCCTCCTCCACATGCCCAGCGATAATTCCTTCCCCATTCGAGATGCACCTTCCGACTTCCTGTCCACCTCCCTCCACAACCCCCCCTCCTCCAACACCGTCCATCTTTCGCATGCTACCTCTACCACCGTCCACCTCCTTCATCCCACTGCCTCTTCCCATCCACATCCACGCTCCTGGCTCCTCATCTGCTTGAGCTTTTCCTTCTCTCCTCGTACCTCATCGTCCATCTCATCTTCTACCCCTGGGGGGGGGGCATCATAACCTTGGGACGTCTCAAAATTATGATTTCCACTCTTTCTCGCCTATCCGCTTTCTCGGCTCAACGTGGCTTAACTAGACGGCCCCAGGGCTGCAAAAGAATGCCTCTAGAATAATCCTCAACCGCTGGATAACACCCTAATGTTGCTCAAAACTGTACCCAGTCAGGCCAATGGGCCCCAAACTCCGCTGAGCGCTGCCATTCAACTACTCTACCACTGTTCCTCCCACGAAGGAGGTTCACGCGACAGGTCGGCAAACGACCGCAATTCATCACCTTCTCAAACTTTGCGCGCACGCAGGCAGTTGCCAGCGATGATACACTGAGAGGCGTCGGAGTGAGCGAAGCGATTGGATGATGAAAGGACTAAAAATAACATTCACCATCATCACCATCATCCTCACCAGCATCATTATCAAAGTCATCATCGACATCACCATCACCATCACCATCACTATCGCCATCACCATCACCATCACCATCACCATCACCACCACCACCACCACCACCACCACCATCATCATCATCATCATCATCATCATCATCATCATCATCATCATCATCATCATCATCATCATCATCATCATCATTATCATCATCATCATCATCATCATCAGAAAGCTGATGACGACACCGCTACTTCACAAGGGAAGAAACATAAGGATGAGGGACAAGGAGAAGGACGGATCCGGAGGATGTGGGGAAGGATGCCGGGGGGCAGGTAACGGCAGGAGGCACGTGGGAGGATGGCAGAAATCTCACCGAGGGTACGTAGATGCTCGGATGTTCTTGCAGGCATTGGCGCTGACCACTGCCTTCAGAACAGTGGCGACTGTAAATTAATAAGCTTTCAAAAGCCCGCGCGGATTTCTTGCATCTGCGCTGGACCCTCATCCCTGGCGGGCGCGGCGCGCGCCAGGGGCGGCGCCTGAGGCGCCGCCAGGGAAGCCCAGCGTAGATCCAAGACGCCCGCTCGATCTTCCGAAAGTGTGAGTGCGACGCGGTGCTTTCTTCCTCCAGCCTCGCCGTCGTCGTCGTCGAGGCCCGAGGGTCGAGGCTCGTGAGTCGGTCGGGGCCTCTGGTCGAGGATCGAGATCGAGGCTCGAGGTCGAAGGTCGGGAGGTCAGGGGCTCCCGAGCACGGTCGCTTTCCTTCCTCGGTGCCCTCGTGAGGCTTCTGCCTCGGAGGGGGGTGTGGTTGAGGGCGGCCGGTGGCGGTTTGGGGGGCGGCCGGCCCGGAGGAGGCGCGGCGCTCCTCGGCCATCCTGGCGTAGAACTTCTGGAACACGACCTTCAGCACGAAGTTCTCCCCACCTGGCGCGGCCTCTCGCCCCGTCGTTCTCGTGCTCTGCCGCTGTCCCTCCTCCCGGTGTTTTTCTTGACCCGTTTCCTTCTCCTCCTCCTCCTCCTCCTCCTCCTCCTCCTCCTCCTCCTCCTCCCTCCTCCTCCTCCTCCTCCTCCTCCTCCTCCTCCTTCTCCTCCTCCTCCTCCTCCTCCTCCTCCTCCTCCTCCTCCTCCTCCTCCTCCTCCTCCCTTTCCTCCTCCTCTTGCCTCTTGCCTAACTTAGGGGTGGGCTCCTCTACCAGGGTCTCCCTGGTTCCTCTCATAAGAAGAGCTCCACGGCCACCGCGATCCCGAACGCGAGGTCCAAGGAGCGAGTGAAGGAATGACCTGAATACCAACCTGCGCGGTCTGCCAGCTCCATGAGAGAAAAACACAGTCCAGAAATCGCCTGTTCCACAAAAGCCTGGCGCCTCTTACAAGGTATACAAGAATGCTTTCTCTGGGCCCAGCGCCTCTCGCAAAGTGGTAATAAACGTATCGTGACTCCCCTCGCGAACTGAAGACCACAAAGGTTGGAAGCAAGACGAATCGATTAGCCAATGTTGACGTGGTCCTGCCAGCAATTCTGCGAAGGTGCAGCCGCAATAGCCGTGCCGCGAGCAGCGCAGTGGGGCTCTGCTGCTCTTCGCTCGGCGGCTCACTCGGGCGCGGGCCCCACCCGCGTAAGACTGGCTTGGACTGGACGGACTGGACGGCCTCGATGGTGGTCATCTCCTCGATGCCAGTGCCAGTCGAGGAACTCTGCTGATGGATGGCCTCAGCCTCCAGCTCCAATTCCGCGACATCCTCGTTCGTTGCGTTTTCCTCTCCCTGCGGCGGCAAGGAAGACCCACCCTCAGCATACTCCGAATCGGGGGGGGGACCCTGATCTCGGGTCTCTCGAGCGGCGCCTCCAGCAAAACGTCCAGCTGCCCGAAACGCGGCAACTCCACGATCTCGTCGATGGCGTTCCGCCCCGGCGGCGCAACCCCGGCCAACGTCTGCGGCCGCAAATCGACCTGGTCGACCGCGCACCGCGTGACGCCGAAAGTCTCGAAAGCACAACGCACGAACTCGGGGGCGGAGATGTCCCAGACCGTCCACCCGTACACGCTCGACTCCTCCTCTTCGAACTTCCCGTGGATGCTGTCGTCCAGCATCCGGTTGGCCTCCACCGTGTGCGCAGCCGCGCGCCGCTTCAGTCGAGGTCCCCCCTTCGGCCCTGCGTAGCGCCGCCGCTCCCGCCGCCAGCAGATTCACGCCCTCCGCCTCAGCGTGGAGGGCGACGTCGCGCCGCAGGCGATCAAGCCAGGTGGGGGCCACCACCTCCCAGCATGGCCTGCGGCGCGGGCCGCATCGTCTGCATCTTTTGGGCCACCCCGCCGTCGCCGACCACGGCCCCAGGGCCTGCTCCCCTGCATCCTGCCGGGCCCGAGCTCGGGCCAGCTCGCCCGCAAGCCGCGCGACATCGTTGTCGGCGGACCCCTTGGCTCACTGGCGGCCAGCCGCGCGCTGGGCCGCCGCGCGCCTTGGAACGCCCTCCGCGCCATCCCGCGCAATCACGGGCCCCGCGCGCGGCGAAATCGGGCGGAACACCAGGCGTTGAGCCGAAATGGCGTCGTGGTTCTTCTTCCTCCTCCTCCTCCCCCTCCTTCTCCTCCTCCTCCTCCTCCTCACCCTCCTCCTCCTCCTCACTCTCCTCCTCCTCCTCCTCCTCCTCCTCCTCCTCCTCCTCCTCCTCCGCACTCTCCTCCTCCTCCTCCTCCTCCTCCTCCTCCTCTTCCTCCTCCTCCTCCTACTCCTCCGTTTCCTCCTCCTCCTCCCCGTCCTCCTACATGTTGCACGTTGCATGCTACTAAAAGGGATCCGTGCACTTCACGGGCCCAAAGACCAGCCCCATCGGTATATACGATGAGCTAGACTGCCCGCACCTCGGGCGCAGTCTTCGTGGGACTGCGTCGCGAGAGCTGTGGGCCACCGCTGCAGACCTTGCGGCAGCTGTCCTCGGAGAGGTCTCGGCTTAGCCTGACTTCCAGTGCTTGTGGGGGGGGGGGCGCAGGGAGCATTCAACTTGAAGGCATTCGACGACGACGCTCCTCCGCACCTGCTACAGACGGCTCTGGACTCAGAATCCAATCAGGGTGGCCCGCGAGGGGCAGGCTTCCGTGTGGAGCTGCGCGAAGCCCTCAGAGGTCGAAGTGCGCCTTCGCCGCCCAGCTGGCAAACTCACGAGTCAAGCTTTGCCAAGTCACCTCGTTGCCGGCTAGAGATTGCCACTCCTCCAGCCCACGTTCTCTGCAAAATCGCTAGATGGAGCCCTCGTGACGGATACGCCGGCGACCGATTGGGCGCCTTGGGCGAAGCGAACCCCACTCGTTCACAACCGCCTGCCAAGAAGAATCTTTCCAGGTCGTCACCTCGTACAACCCCTCCACGGCACTTGTCCGCACCGCCCGCCCTGCCCAGGTCCATGTCCATCGAGCATGCTGGGGCCCCCACTCCTCGAGTCCAACAGAATTGGTAGCATGCCGTGTTTGATGCGTGGCTCTGTTGACCCAGTCCACCCAGGGCTTTCCCCTGGCACGCCCGCACTGCGCAAGTTGGCGAAGCATGATATTCTGAGCCACCATCAACTTTCTCTGCTCATCTGCCCAGGGCGCCCATGTCTTGCATGCCCAGAATGCCAATTCTGCCACAGTAGAATTTAATAAGCGGAACCTTTTCTTGAGCGACTGCATCTCGTCCGACAACAACCGCTGCAAAGCCCGGAACTCTCTCCACCCGCGCGCGATGCGATTCTGAATTCCCATTCATGTCGGGCCATCCAAGGGAAACGCTCGTGCCCGAGTGCTCCAAACACTTGTCCGGCTTCAATGTTTCGACCGAGAACCCTCTGGCTGCATAACATCGCCTCTCTGCGCAGAGTCGCCCCGGCTTGTCTGGACTTCGTAGTTGGTCGGGTGCAAATCGAGACCCACTTTCGCAAGGGCGTTTTTTTCAGCGCCAAAAAAATCTCTCAATGGAGGTCCAGCTCCTTGATATGAGCGCCTGGCCGTCTGCGAATGCGACGCGTGTGGGGTTTTGGCCATCGAAGCTGGGCCCGACGATCGCGCCGTACCCTCGCCTCCTCCATGTGCCGCTCACGTCGGACAAGACTGCGTCCAACGCCAACTTGAACAACGCCGCGCCACGAAAGACATGGCGGTGCGGAAGGTGGGTCGAAAGGGCGGTCTAGGCATGATTCGGCCTGCCCGGTTGGCTCAGCCAGGGTTCCTTGGCCCCCTGGGCCTGGTGCCTGAAACAGATGTTACACCGCGCCCCTTCTGGGACCTCCCCAAGAACGTGCTGAGCGTGGTCCCACTTCTTGGGGGCCTGGATCCGCCCTCGCTTCTTGGGGGCAGGGGGCGGCGAGGGGAAAACCTACCAGAATAACTCCAGACAAAGGTGGCGCGGCGGTGCTGGGCGAGGCTGACCTCGCGGTCGGCCCCCAACACGGGTCGGGTGACCTTCTCGGGCCACTGAGCGCGGATGGCTGCGTCGCTGGCCATCCTGTCTGCTGGCTCATTAACTGGAGAGACCCAGGGCTGGATACTATACATATATATATATAAACGGACTCGGACGGGCGGGGCTTGGCCACGTCAAACTCCACGGTCCCGCCGAGCGCCTGCCTCCCACAAGCATTGCCAGAGATCTCTGTGGGCCCGATGTTTCCGCTGGGATCCCCTCGGTACAGTCGGGGGCTTGACCTAAGGAACCCAAAATAAGGAACGAGGCCTCTTTATTCCATGAGTTAAACTTCGATTTCCGATCGAAAAAATAAGGAGAATCTGAGGCAAGCTGCGAAACACTTAAGGAAAGCGGAGCCCCTCCCCAACGAAAAGGGTTCCTTCTTCAGGGCCCCGACGGTACTCCTCGGCACACGTATGCTGAAGCTGTCGCAATCAGAATCTCACCAGCGAGGTTGCGGAGGGCCTGGACGACCGCGCACAGCTTCCCGCGGTCGATGGTCTGCTTACCTGGCAGGCCTCCTCGAAGGGTTCCTACGGTCTCAGGGTCGGCATCTTCGACTTCCGCTCCCCATCCAATGCTCCTGAGCCTCGGGTCCAGCGGGAAACGTCCACCTTCGGCGTCGGTCCCCGCCAGGAACCTCCCTTTGATCGGGCCTTCTTCGATCGTGAAGGACCCCGTGGCTCCAATGGTGGCTCGGGGGGGTGTTGTTCCAGAGCTCCTACGGTAAAATTAGCCACCTGCAATCCTCGCCCCCAGTTCACTAGATATGGCGGGGACTGCTCCACTGCCTCGGCCACCAGGGGTGAGACTCGCTGATCGCGGGGCCGGGGCCCCTACTCAAGACAGGGCAGGCCCAGAAGCCGCACAAGTCGTCCTCCACTGCCGCGCTGCATCTGAAGCAGCGGGGGGGGATGGCAGGGCATGCGCTGGTGAACGCGGGGGTTGGTCCAGATCGACCCCTCCCCAATGGCGCGCAGCGCCTTTGCCCGAGTGGACTTAGTCCCTCCGGAACTTGTGACAGGCGGCCTGAAACTGGTGCGTGTATATATACACATATATATATATATACATATGCCAAACTCCCCCCCCCCTAGGTGGAACCTCGAGGCCCTCCCCCAGAGCGTCTGCGAAACGCGGATGCTGAAATCCTCCTGGTCATCGGCTTGCCCTTTCGAGGCCCCCTGGGGGCAACTTGTAGCGCCCGTCCCCTGGACAGATCCATTCCCAGGGCCCCGCCGCGTGCACGTCGAGGTCATGGAAGGTGGCGGCACAGGCGGAGGGAAGTGGCATTACTCCAGCGGGACTTGCCCGCCAGCCTTTCAACTGTGGGGTAACATTTCTTGGCTATGGCATTGTGCCACTCGGGCAGCTGGTTGACAAGCTCAAACCAGTCGGCCACCACCTGCATGGGTAAAAGATGCGCAGGAGCTCCCTGCTGCTGGCCTCGGGCGGACAAAGCGAATCCTGCGGTGGTACATCCATATCTGGGAATATAGCCTATTCCTTGCACGAGCCTGCCACGGACATGCTTGAGAACGGATGGCGCGATCCCTTGCCCGTCGTGGCCCCAGAAGAACTGCTGCCTGGCTCCAGTGTTCACCAACTTCATAAAAAAAACCGTGTGGTGGCCCTCGTGAGCTGGGTGATCTTCTTGGGCCTCTGGTACCCTTTCCACATGCGTTCTTTATTGGATATTGGGCCATCTGTGGAGCCCCATGGTGGTGTCCAGGCCGAGGTCCGTCACCTGCGTGCTGGTCTTGACGGCCCAAGCTAACTTCCTGGTCTCCTGGCCGATCTGGCTCCCAAGTCCAGGTACCGAGGCAACAGCGAAGGACTTGGGGGCGAATTTGCAACCGTGGTCCTGGAGCGTCTGACCTAGGATCGCGAGGGCATGCGGGACCACCTCCAGGATCTCGTTCGAGGATCCCCAGACTCGTAACCTCAAATCGCCCATACAAATACGGAAACGCACCTCTGGAAAGTGATAGTGGAGCTCCTCCGAGATGGTACAGAGGGAGGCGCGCGCCAGGGAGGTAGACCTGGTGCACCCTTGGAGGGCGCTCTCTGTCGGGCAGGTGGGCGACGAGCAGCCAAGCGACGATGATGACAGAGAACGAGCGGCCTGGTCGACGATGCGTGGTAAGATACTCGACTTTGATGGCCACTCCACAAACATGCCCGGTACGTATCGTACCGAAAAACTGTTCAATGTTTACCAGGGCCTCCGCCAGGGGGGGCTTCATGCTCGCTGCTCTCCTCCTCCTCCTCCTCCTCCTCCTCCTCCACCTCTTCCCCCTCCTCCTCCTCCGCCTCCTCCTCCTTCTCCTCCTCCTCCTCCTCCTTTTCCTCCTCCTTAAAGCCTCTCCTCGGCTCCTCTTCTCGCCTCTCCCTCCTCCTCCTTCCCCTCCTCTTCCTCCTCATTATCATGCTTCTCCACTTTGTCAACAGCACCATCATCATAATCATCATCAGCAGCAGCATCATCAGCAGCATCATCGTAAGCAGCATCATCACCCGAAGCAGTAGCATAATCAACGCGAACAGCATCATAAGCATCACCACCACAACCATCATCGTCATCAGCATCATCATCAACATCATCATGATCACCACCATGAAAAGCAGCATCGCCATCATGAGAAGCATCAACAGAAGCAGCAGCATCCTCATCATCGCCAGCATCAGCATAACCACCCTCACCATCATAATCAACAGCATGAATGCCATCACCATCATACCCATAATCATCAGCACCATCATGATAATCATCATCATCATCATCATCATCATCATCATCAGCATCATCATCGCCATTATCATCAGCATCATCATCACCATCATCAGCATCATCATCACCATCATCAGCATCATCCTCACCATCTTCAGACGCCGCAGCACCATCATCATCAGACGCAGCATCCTCATCATCATCGTCAGCATCAGCATCATCGTCATCGTCATCACCACCATCAGCATCAGCAGTAGCAGAAGCAGCAAAAGCGGCATTCACATCATCATCAGCATCAGCAGCATCAGCATTATCAGCATAATCATCATCAGCAGCATCATCATCATCATCATCATCATCATCATCATCAACAACATCATCATTTGTATCATCGCCATCAGCATCATCATCGTCATCATCAGTATCGTCGTCAGCATCATTATCATCATGCTCCTCCCCTCCTTCTTCTCATTCTCCTCCTCCGCCTCCGCTTCACCGAACCCCTCTCCCCCCCCTTTGGTTTTCCTCCCTCCAAGTTCTCCCCCTCCTCCCCTTCGTCGGTCTTCCCTCTCCCGTTTCTTCTCCAACTCCTCCTCCTCCTCTCCCTCCTCATGCTCCTCCTTCCCCTCCTCTCCTCCTCCTCCTCCTCCTCCTCCTCCTCCACCTGCTCCTCCTCCTCCTCCTCCTCCTCATCCTCCTCCTCTTTCCCTTCCTCCTCCTCCTCCTCCTCCTCCTCCTCCTCCTTCTCCCCTTGCTCTTCCCCTCCAATCCCTGCCCCCCCCCTCCTCAAATCTCCCCCACGCCTCTCATTTTCATCATCCTTGGGGCACGAAGGAGGAGAAGCCGCAAGAGGGGACGGCGACGACGACGACGACGACGACGACGACGACGACGACGACGACGATCATCACCACTACGGCCGCCGACCACAACACGACGGCGTCGACGACGAGAACACCGACAACACCGACGACGACGACGACGACGAAGACGAACATGCCGACCGCGGGGCGGCGATCTTGGGGCGCGCGCGCGCTCGCGCGCGCGGGCGGGCGCCGAGGCGCCCGCTGTAACGCCCGACGAGCTCGTGCACCTGGCCCACCGAGCCGGTGCCGAGCACGCCGCCCAGGAAGTACTCCTGGGGGAGGCGGCGGCCCTGGGTCCTCGTTCTCTTCGGTCCTGCTCCTCCTGACTCTCCTCGAGGCGTGATTCCCGCTTTTGCGCGTGTGCCCTTGGTGTTGGCCGTTGGCCACTTTGGCCGTTGGCCAGGGCACGTTGGCCCGCGCTTTGCTGAGCGCCACGATTTTGTTCTGCCTTTTGGGTCCTCGAGGCTCCTCCTCGATCCTCGGGTCCTCCTCGGGGCCTCCTCCCTCTCTTCAGCCCGCGTGCCTCGCTCCTGCCCCTGGATCCTTGACCATCGCTCCTCCTCCTCCTCCTCCTCCTCCTCCTCCTCCTCCTCCTCCCCCTCCTCCTCCCCTTCCTCCTCCTCCTCCTCCTCCTCCTCCTCCTCCTCCTCCTCCTCCTCCTCCTCCTCCTCCTCATCCACCACCACCGTTCAGGCCTTCAAGATGGGGACACAGGTGTCTCCAGCACGCCGCCCTGCCCATACCATACGGCCAACGCCGCCTGGGAGGAGACAGCGACGGAGGAGGGAGGGGAGGCAGGGAGGGGAGGAGGAAGGGAGGGCGGCAGGGAGAGACGGAGCGAGTGAGTGAGCGAGTGATTGAGTGATCGAGGGAGGGAGAAAGGAGGGAGGGAGGGAGGGAGGGAGGAAGGAGGGAGGGAGGCAGGGAGAGAGGGAGAGAGGGAGGAGGGAGGCAGGGAGAGAGGGAGGGAGGGAGGAGAGGGAGGGAGGGAGGGAGGGAGAAAGGAGGGAGGGAGAAAGGAGGGAGGGAGGGGAGGAACGGGCGACGAAGGAGGAGCGAGGCAGAGAGAGAGGGAGGAGGAAGGGGGGAGGCCCCAGGACTCGCCCCTCGACTGGAGCCTGGAGGCCAGCCCAGGGGGCCTCGAGGCCACGGCTTGCTGCCGACGGGGGGAGCCGCTGCTCTGAAAGAGGCCCAGGAACACACACACACACAATTCCGACACCCTTCCCAGGATTCTCAACAACTTTATTCATTTTCTGGATTGTCGTCTTCCCCTCCACATCCCATGTTTTCCCAATCGCCTCGTGGGAATCGACGTTTCTTTGGTGTGTGTGTGTGTGTCTCTTCGTCTCTCCAAATTTCCGTTCCTTGAGCTTGTGGTGGAAAGCCCGAGGATGCACGCGCGCTGGCACACACAATTACGGTGAGAACATTGGAAGGAACCACCGGATGAGGAATCCAGCGTCTGGGAACCCGGAGAACACCAAGCGAGGTTTGGCCATGGATATCACCGCCAGCCTCATTAGACAACGGATCCTCCAGGGTCTGAAGCCTCCTGAACACATTCCTTAACGAACGCCCCCACCGTAGGTGTGGTGGATTCGCTGGACGCTTGCTCAAAAACGCCACATGAGAGCTCATTGGGGGGGCGTCCCCGCGGTCTGCGGAAGGATGGGAGAAGGGAGGACGGGGGAGGAGGAGGAGGAGGAGGAGGAGGAGGAGGAGGAGGAGGAGGAGGAGGAGGAGGAGAAGGAGGGCCGGATAAGAAAAGAACAGGGAGGAGGGAGGAGGATGTAGGAGTGACGGAGAAAGGAGGGACGGAGGAGGGAGGGAATGACGGAGGAGGGAGGGCTCGAGGATGGAGGACGACGGAGACGGGAGGGACGGAGGAGGAGGAGGAGGAGGAGGAGGAGAAGGAGGAGGAGGGAGGAGGAGGAGGAGGAGGAGGAGGAGGAGGAGGAGGAGGAGGAGGTCGAGGAGGAGGAGGGTGCATGAGGAGGGGGGAGAGGGCCGAGGAGGAGGAGGAGGAGCAGGAGGGCCAGAGTGAGCCCAAGATGCATCAGCGATGCTGCAGTACACCCTCCCGTCCCAAAAGCCCCTCCTGATGCGTCCCTGCAAGATTTGTCTTGCAAGAAACGCCCACCTTAGGAGGCCTGGAAATGGGCACCAACACCACCACAGGGTGTTGCCTCCACAGGGGGAAGATGGTCCTGGATTTCGGTGTTGGTGGCAATATTTCGGCTACCTTGGAAGCCAGAATATTACCACCATCACCGGGATCGGGATCCTCTTTCCCAGGTGGAAGCAAACCGCCGATATTGGTGTTGGTGTCAATCTCTAGGCCTGCGACACCCTGAAAGACCAGCCTGGCCCATCACCAAGGTGCTGTTTTGCACTCGGGGCACACCGCGCAGGCCCCCGGGTGGCCGCTCGCGACGACTCCGCCATCCCCTGGGGCACTCTTTTAATGAAGGGGCCCCAGGACACACAAATAGATACACACAAATAAAATCATCCCCTATATTTTCCCATATTTTCTGGGTTTCTGTCTTCCCGCCCACTTCCCATATTGTCCCATATTTTCTGGGGAATCCAAGATTAATGGTGTCTGTGTGTTTCTTTTCCTCCTGATTTAAGCCCCCCTGGCCTCGAACAACCTTTCAAGACCATTTCAACACATCGAACCCCAACTGGAAGGAGGACCCAGACATGCAACGTCTTGATGTTTCAGCACGGGGTCCCGGAAGTTCTGACCCTTGCGAGGCCCGCCAGGGCGATGAGGTGGGGGGGCTCGTCAACCGAACGAGGTCGAAGGGAGCTCCCTGCTCCAGCCAGGCCACTCGTTGTTGAGGACCTCTATCACGTCCGCCTCCTCGAACGGCGCGCAGTGATCGTAGCTGCACTGCAGGGCGCTGCGGACCTCACCGTGGCGCTGGGCGAGGGAAGGCGGCGAGGCCCGCAACAACACAAGGCAGCTGACCCCGGCATGCTCGCGTCTTAAACAGAAGCGACACGATATTCTGGCCGTTGTCGGGCTCCGGGGGGGCTCGCCCGGCCCTGGGACCGCCAACAGAACAACTCGGGCTGAACAAAACTGGCCCTGGGGAATGGGTCGGGACTTTTAGAGACCCCCTCCCCCTCCCTCTCCCCCTCCTCCTCCTCAGCCTCCTCCTCCTCCTCCTCCTCCTCCTCCTTCTCACCCTCCTCCTCCTCCTCCTTCTCCGCCTCCTCCAACCTTCTCCTCCCCCTTCTCCTCCCCCTCCCCCTCCCCCTCCTCCTCCTCCTCCTCCTCCTCCTCCTCCTCCTCCTCCGCCTCCTGGCCGATGCCTGGTGAACGATGGCGGAGGTGAGGGGAACGAGCCAAACCCCCGACGTCGTGATTTTTTGTCGCAACGTTGACCCCCAGACGTCTGGCCCCCTTCCCCGGTTCGGCAAGTTCTGGCCGATTTCGATGATCGTCGCACGATTTTCCAGCTCGGGAATCGTCCAGCTGCTGCTCGGCGGCTCGCGAGGGGGGATGAGAAGGAAAAAGCCTTCTCAGAGGGCGGCGAGACTTCTCAGAGGCCCTCGCGCCTTCAGAGAAGTCTTCTGCGTCTTCGGGGAAGGCTTAAACAACTTCTCAGAAGGTCGGGTGCTTTCCGAGCCTTCTGAGAAGGTCCGCCCCTTCTCACTTCCCCCCCTCGCTCGTCGCCGAGCTGCGCGTCTAGAAAAAAAACAGCTGCTGCGCGTCGCCGAGGACGTTCCCGAGCAGTCGCCGCCGCTCCGAGCTGTGGGTCGACAGCCCCAACAGGAGCGAGCTCTGCGGGGAGGGCCATCGGAATCCCTGTGGCCGTGCTAGGCGGCACAGCGTGCTGAGAAGGGGGGAGGGTACGGGCGACCAGGGTCACTTCACCAAGGGGGGGAGAGTAGAGGAGAACGACGACGGGGGGGAAAGGAGAGGATAACGACGACGACGACAGACGACGAAGACGACGACGACGACGACGAGGGCGACGACGACGACGACGACGAGGACGAGGACGACGACGACGCCGACGACGATGTCGAGGACGAGGACGAAAACGACGGGGAAGGGGGAGGGGAGAAGTGGGCGCAGGGTGGAGGTGGAAGAGGAACTCCGCGGGCACAGAGGGCCCGTGAGGGGCGGCAACCTCCACGACGTTCATCCTCGGCGCCGCAGAGGGCCCGCTTGCTAATCTCGAGGTGCTTGCACGCCGAGACTGTGCAGAGCCGTGCAGTCAGACCTGGGCCAGAAGGACACCCCTCGAGAGCACGAGGCCCTCCGTCGGCCAAAACAAGCGCAGGATGCAACGGGTACCCTCCCGAGGGTGCACGAGAACAGTCAACAAGCACGACGAACACTGGGGCTCGAGGGGGCCGCCCACGCGCGGCGGGCCCGTGCCGCGGCCTGCCAGCACGCCCGCGCCGAGGCCCAGCACGCCAAAGGGCGAGCACCGCGGGCAGCGCCACGAGCCCGGGCCGCCCCGACGGCGTCGAGCTCGTGCCCCGCGACGCGGCAGCAGCGCCCCCCGCGACGTCGAGCTCCGCTCCTCCGCCGAGCGGGCCCCCGCCAGGCTGCGCAGAGGCAGGCGGCCCGCGGCGGACAAGCGCACCACGCTCCGCGGCGGGCCCCGTCCGCGTGGCCGTCTACGGCCCGGCAGCGCCCCGAGAACGACGGAGACGAAGGAGTGCCCCTCCAGTCACGAGGGTGACAAGACGAGCTGCCGTACAGCACCACGAACGAGCGGAGGGAGTGATGCCCCATAAGCCGCCGCAGCCGCGCAACGGCCTCAGCAGGCGAGGCAGCGGGGGTGGCGTCGGCACCGGTGCGGGCAGGCGCCCATGGCGCCCGCGGCGCTGGCAGGGCGGCCGCGCCCAGCGATCCGAACCTGGTCCGCGACAGCTTTGGCCAAAGCGCCCACCGAGGCCCTACGGGGAGGAGACGGCGGAGCCGCAAGAGGTGGGACGGGCCGTTGGAGGTGGAGGAGCGGAAGGCTCCCCCGTCGTCGCCGTCGTCGCCGCCGCCGCCGTCGCCAGAACCTTCGCGATGTAGCCGCCGTCGCCGCCCGTGATCGTCGCCGTCGTCGCCGCCAGCGGTCGCCGTCGCAGGCGGCGTCGCCAGCGGCGTCGCGGCCTGCGGCCACCGCAGCACGTCCGAGCGCGTGCTGAGGATCTGCGCCGCCTTGGGCCACACGCCCCGGAGCTCCATGAGCAGCACGGCGAGGCCTCGGCGCGACTGGGCCGTCGCATGCCGCCGCCGTCCGTCGTCGAGAGGGGAAGGTCGTCGTCGCCCTCCGTCGCTCGTTCGTCGTTCGTCCGTCCTCGACCGTCGTCATCTGTCCTCGTCGTCGTCGTCGACGTCGTCGTCGTCGTCTGTCGTTCCTGGCTAATATTTCGTATTCTGTCGTTGTCCGTCATCGTGGTCGTCCGTCGATGATCGTCTGTTTTTCGTCGTCCGATGCTTTTGGAGATCGTCAGACCAAACGGACGGCGGACGGCGACGGACAATGAAGGAACACGACGACGACGGACAGCGACGGACGACGGCGACCACGACGACGACGACGACGACGACGACGACCGAACAATGTCGACGGATGACGACAGACGGCAGCGACCACGGCGACGACGATGGACGACAACGACCACGGCAACGATGATTTCTAACGGTACTGGTTCCAGGAGGAGTAGCAGTAGAATTCGGGAGAAGAATAATGGATACGGTCTGAGAACAGGTTGAACCCGCGACAAACGGAACAGACAGGGACAGCTCGGCAGCCTCGAGGAGTTCGGGGCCCGCTACTGGTCGGTCAGCCCTTGACCTGCTTGGCTGCCATGCGGGCAGCCTTTGTCACGGAGTGATTCCCTGACTCGATTGACGTCGTTACACGGTATGCGCCGCAGACGTTGCACTTCACGGCCCCAAGCCGCGTCGAGGAGTCCTTGACCAGCTCGGTGTCGGCGCCTTTGCACATGTGGCAGGTCACATAATCCTTGTTGTACGTTCGCAGCGCGCTCTCCAGATGCTTGGGCAGGTATCGGCCCTTCAACATCAGCTGGCCGTCAGCGCCGGCTCCCTCTGCGCGCGCGGTTGCAGTCCCGGCCACCGAGCCCTGCGTGCCAGATTCCGCCAGCAAGAACGACACGACATGGTCAGATGGCCGCTTGATCATCTGACAGATCTCGGCACAATTTACCCAAGCCAACCTCTTGGAACCAACGCGGACAACCTGCGGAAGCTTCAACACGTGATTCTTCGCTATACCCAACATCGGGCACTTGTTCTCGACGATCCCGCACATCCGCGTGAGCATCTCCTGATATGTACACTCTGGCCTTGTCGACCAATCCACGCTGGTAAGCTGGACCTCTTCCTCATCCCCGTTCGCTTCATACTTCTTCTCCTGTTTCTCTTCCTTCGGCTTCTTCTTTCCGAGAATCAGATTCCGGGCTCCTCTTCGTCCCCCATTCTCCGCCTGTTGCCTAGAGCCAGCGAGTCGCCTTGGCTTGCCAAGTTTGCTGGGCCGAATCGGCTTGCCAAGTCTGCTGGAGCCAAAACGGCCAAAACGAGCCAACACGATGACGGACGATGACGGACGCCAGACGACGGACAGCGAACGAAGACGACGGACGACGACGAAGGACAACGGAGGACGACGACGACGACAACGATGACGATTCCGACGACAACGGACGACAGACGACTGCCGACGACGACTGACTGTGACAAGCACGGACAACGAGGGACCACGGACGAAGACGACGACAGCGACCGACGTCGCCCAGAGGCTTCCAGGAGCCTCTCGGGGTCGCCGAGGTCCTTGCTTAGATGAAGGAGCCCTGGGACACACAAATAAATACACACAAATAACAGGATTCCCAATATTTTCTCATATTTGCTGGGTTTTTGTCTTCCCCACCACTTCCAATATTTTCCCATCTTTTCCTGGGGATCGACGATTAATTGTGTCTGTGTGTTTCTTCCCCTCCTGATTAGAGGCTCCAGGAAGCCCAGGAAGGAGCAACTGCGATCGAGAACCTGGCTCCTCGAGGACGGCCGGCGACGACGGACCCCACGGCCTCGGTGGCCTGAAGCACACGAGGCCCTCAGGCCGGTGGCTTGCCAAGCCACCTGCCCTCAGGGCCTCCCCCCCCTGGGGTCCCAAGCCTTGGGACCCCAGGGCTCCCCCCCCGAGGACCAGCATACTTTTGGCATGCCCTGCTCTGGTCTGCTCTGTGGTGTGGTGTTGTGCTTGTGGACGGTTCGGCCCTGTGTAGTGTCTGCTGATCTGCGCTGCTATTTCTGTGTCGCTGCGCTCTGCCGTCGTGTTCTGATATGGTCCGCGATGCTGCACCATGATGCCATCCTGTGTTTGGGACCCCAAGGCCTCCCGACTAGCTCACTTTTGAGCGCCCCGAGCCGTGTCCCAGCACTCCCCGGGGCCCGTGGAGGGCCCAGTGGGCGCCCGAAGCTGGCGAAAAACCGCCGGGTGCGTTTCCCTCAAGACCTGTCCTAGCGTGTCGTCGTTGTCGCCGTCGTCGTCGTCGTCCTCATCCTCGTCTTCGTCCTCGTCCTCGTCCTCGTCCTCGTCCTCGTCGTCGTCGTCCTCGTCGTCGTCGTCGTCGTCGTCGTCGTCGTCGTCGTCTGTCGAAGGCGTCGTCTGTCGAAGTCGTCGTCGTCCGGCGCCCAGGCCTGTCCAGGCGTACGCTCAGGCCCGAATTTCGTGGCGGGTTCAGCCGCGGGGCCCAGAGGAGCCAGCCAACAACTCTCGAGTAGCCTCGAACCTCGAGGTTGTCCAACACCGACAGCAGTCGCTGCTGGGCAGGTGGCCTTCTTGGGCGCCCGAGTTATCCGGGGTAACTCGGGTCCGGGGTAACTCGGGTTTGGATTCCCGAGAAAGGAACCCGAGTTAGCCCTGACCCGAGTTACCCCTGATGATTCGGGGCTCTGGACGCCAGAGTTATCCGGGATAACTCGGGTCCGGGGTAACTCGGGTTTGGATTCCCGAAAAACGAACCCGAGTTATCCCTGACCCGAGTTACCCCTGATGATTCGGGGCTCTGACCTTCTGTCTCGAAGGAACACCGTCCGCGGCAACGCCGACTGCGAACCCTGCTCAAAAGGGCCAGGACCTGCTGTCGGAGCCCTGCCTGGCCTCTGTCTCTGCGTGGTTTTTTCGGACCTCGATATTCCTCCCTCGGTCGCTGTCCCTCCGCCGGAGGTGTCTCTCCCGGGCCCTCTCTCTTTGCTCGCTTTTTTCCGGCCTCGAGGGAGGTAGCGCTTGACTCGAACCCACGTCCACGTGAAACTATTTTGCTTCGAGCGATCCCCACCGAAACCTTCAGCGTTTGTTCCCGGACGGCGCGCGGCCGCCCAATTGGTCGACCATTCCCGTTTCTGGATTCCAAAACAAGTTCAACCAAGTTCGATGTAGTCAAATTATTTCATGTTGTACTCTACTATGTCCTGTTCTGTTCTCAACGGGCCGGCGTGATATCGTGACGCCTCTGGCGTTAGATGCGTCCTCTGTAATGATGTTCCTCTTCACTTGTCTGTTTCTCGTCTGATAGGGTATGATCTGTTCTGCTCATCTCTGTCACCATACGCTCTTAGATGTTATGGTATGATCTGCTCGGTGGCAAAATGTTATGACATGATTTGTGATGCCAAACGATACTCTAGAATGCACTGTCCCGTGATGCTGTTGACAGCTCGGTTCAGAACATGAAATCATGATGTGATCGTATGGATTGTGTCGCTATGCTGTGCTGCCGTGTTCTGATATGTGCTGAACTGTTTTCATAGTCTGACCCGGTATGCTATGCCATGGTGTGTTATGGTGTGCTCGCGCATATTATGTTATGTTGTGTTATGTCGCCTTCTGTTATGCCATGCTCTGCTCTGGTCCGTTATGCGATCACCTGTGTTGTTGACGGCTCGGCCCTAAATAGTATAGTATGATCTGCTCTGATGCTCTGTGACGCTACGCTCTGCTGTCGTATTCTGAAATGTTATGTGATGCTGTGTCATGGAATGAGATGCCCTGTCAAATAATATTATGTTATGCTCCGCTCTGTCTTGTTATGGTGGGTTCTGTCGTCGTCTGCTCTGGCATGTTCTGGTCTGGTTTTTGTGCGATGATCTGGATTGCTGTATGTTGTCATGGTATTGTTATGTTCTGATATGCCATGGTCTGTCATGCTCGCGGTCGGCTACGTGTTTTTCATGGTATGTTACGTTATGCTCTGTTGTGTCGTGTTGTGTTCTGTCGTGTTCGTCGTCGCCATGCTCTGCTGTCGTGTTATGATATGGTCTGTGATGCTGTGTCATAGTATGACTGCTTATGTCAAGGTGTGTTGAGTCACACTCGGATTTTTTATGTCATGTTGTGTTATGTCGCCTTCTGCTCTGGCATGTTCTGCTCTGGTATGCTCTGTGATGTGATGTTGTGTTGTTGACGGTTCGGCGCTGTATCATAGATTATGATCTGCTCTGCTACTCTGTCGCTACGCTCTGCCGTCGTCCGGGAGCCTTGCTTTCTGGCACCCCCTAGGCCGCGGAAGGGCCTCGAGAGGTCGAAGCGATTTCTTCGAGTCGCCAGGAGCGCCATTTTTGATTCGCGGCCATGACTGGCGGTATGGGGGGGGGGCGGGAGGGGGTGTAGCGTAGCGCCCCCCCCTGATTGTGGTGCCGGAAGCACTGTGGCAGTGCCCGGGACGCACCGAGGGTGGGAGCGTCACAGTATGGGGGGAGGGAGGGTAGGGGACATACGCGCGTCATGGCCCAGAGGTTAGAAAAAACACTCTCCAGATGCCGCGGCTCGGTGCGGGCAATAGTTGTATCCACATCCAGTGCGTCTTAGACTCTTGGGCTCTCTTCCCCAGAAGCCGTAGACGCACTGGATCTGGATAAAAATCTGGCCCCAAGAGACTTGATTCCATCCATATCCAGTGCGCCTCGGCGTAGCGGCGCCTCTTCCCGAAAAGTCCACGACGCTCTGGATATGGATATAAGTACTGCCCGCACTCGGGACCTGCCCGCCGCTCGTGCAGAGAGCGACGGCGGCGACCTGTTTCCTCCGCGCCGGCGGCCTTTCTCGCCGCGCCCTGGCCGCGCGCGCGGTCGACGGGCGCGCCGGGCGCCCCGCTTACGGGGGGGCGCCGAGAAGGAGGAGGAGGAGGAGAAGGAGGAAGAGGAGGAGGAGGAGAAGGAGGAGGAGGAGGAGGGTG